CATTAGAAGACACAATTTTCCGCCTGGGCCCACTGGGCAGAGAGACACCAGGCTCACTACACCCAAACACTCACGAAGCTGCGCCAGCTATGACCCTAGTCCGGTTGCATCTAGCCACACACGACCAATCATTGAAGCGCACACACCCCCCCCCTCCGCTACCCCCTTGGTCAGGGGCTATGCCTCTCTTTGAGAGGTCAACCATGCACAAACCATCTCCCCCCACCCCACCCAGGGGAGGAGGGCAAAGCTTACACCACCGACACTCGAGTGCAGATATTGCTTGATTTAACTAAGTTAGACATGTTATTAAACCTCTTGTGATCAAAACCTATGCTACTGTAACATGTTTTTGCTTACATCCTGTTCTGAGCGACATTATTTTAACACTATAAAATGTGCTGATAAGTTCATTGTTCCAATTGTTAAGTCTGAAAACATGCTCGGGGAATGCTATTGGGGCACCACGAGCTTGCTTGTTATATGCTCAAAGCACGATAAAAATAAAGAATTAAAAAAAAAAAAAAAAGAATAGATATTTTTTTTATTTTTTTTTACTGCTCTGCCTTTTTCCCCTCTATTGTTCAATTCTCACTTGATCTGTGATTAAAATCAACATTTAGCGGCTAGCCATTAATCATCTTTTTCCCCTATTAATCATTTTTTGTTTTTGGTGCCACAGGTGGAATGTATAATTAAATTACCATGTATGTCCAATGAGCTAGTCGTTCGCTCTGTTATATGTCCATATTTAGATATGGAATTCGAACAAATAAGAATGCACAAATCTAGTTAATTAGTCAAATTAGAATTGTTGGGAATTAAAGGTGAATTTCAAATTGAAGACAAAAATTTCTGAACTGGAAAAACTCTCCAAGGCAGCTATATTTCTTGTTCAAAAATATTTTGTCTCACATTGAGAATTCTAAATGAATTCTCACTCAATGAGAGTTTCACTTTGAAGAATAATCTTGTTGGTAATGCAAAACTGTAGTTTTTACATTATCAGTGCGTTTGAAGACGGGGCATAAAACCCTATTAGGTCAAACCACTTCAAAATTGATGACAAAAACAAGTGGTAGGGGCTATGCAGTTTCAGGAGCCTCTTTGATAAGGCTAATTTGTTATGCCACTGAAAAAGTTTTGGATTCTGTTTAGCCATCACATTATCAGATATTTTGTATTTATTTTATTCTCATACTACTCTTGGCTCCAATTAATGAGACAATGGTGGGTAGAGCCACAGGAACAGCCCAGCCAACAACAATGTGAGGTGTGACTGCAGTATGTGACATTGTTTACCTACTTATTTAATTTTCCACTTGTGTTGTCTAATAGTCCAGCATCTGTGGATGCTGGGGCACTCATAAGCCACTTTATAAAAATTCCTCTTTAAAGCTCAACATGCACCTTACCAAAGAAATTGGATCCAAATATGCAGCCTTAAAGCGCACAATCTTTCAGACACTAGCAATAGGTTTAAAATTATTGTTGTTGTTTTTTTAAATGTATGTAGTCAAACAAAAGAAAACTTAGCTCAGCTTGATCTCTAACTAAACATTTAGTTGCATCCCTAAGGTTGTTTTCCCTGACTTACCCTGCTTTTCAGCCAACATATATATGTATGTAAAGACAGGAGCCTGGAGTTGTGGGAGGGGCTAGTTTCACCTAATTAAAGTACTCACCTTCTCTAGGCAGTACCTGAATTGAGATCGGCAGAGCATTTATGCAGGTAGCCTTACGTCTGGTTCCGAGCAGAAAGATTTTCACAGCAAGCCTTCCACAACAAAAAACTTTAACCAAGTTCTTCAGGCCCAGCTATTTTCCATTTCAGTGCTCCCAAGAGTCAAGGAATCCGATCCAAAGCTGGGCTAACAAGGCACAAACCCTTTGTGTACAAACTAACCGATTAACTTGAAAATTGCGTCAAGAAAATTCACATTACCTATGGTTTTCGCAAACAAACCATGAGTACAAATTAGGCCCTCTTTCGGCCAAATTTAGCACATCATTTAGTCTCATTCGACCAGTCATGAAGTGCATTCATGATTGCATTCACTGTAAATTGATACTAGGCATTTGGCCTGCACTCTGCCTCTCTAATTATGTGTTCAGCCCCAAATTTTGTGTACTTCTTTTAAAGGATCACTATAGTGCCAGGAAAACAAAATCGTTTTCCTGGCACTATAGTGCCCTGAGGATGCCCCGGCCCTCAGGGTCCCACTCCCGCCGGGCTGAAGGGGGAGGAAGGGGGTTAAACACTCACCTTTTTTCCAATGCCGGGCTCCCTCGGCGCTGGGACTCTCCTCCCTCTTCTGACGTCACCGCACGCACATTCAGCCAGTCCATAGGAAAGCATTCTCAATGGCGTCTTCTCACTGTGAAAATCACAAAGAGAAGCACAGAAGCGCTTCTAGCGGCTGTCAATGAGACAGCCACTAGAGGCTGGATTAACCCACAGGTAAACATAGCAGTTTCTCTATGCTATGTTTACAGCAGAAAGGTTTAATCTTAGATGGACCTGGCACCCAGACCACTTCATTGAGCTGAAGTGGTCTGGGTGCCTATAGTGGTCCTTTAACCCCTTAAGGACCAAACTTCTGGAATAAAAGGGAATCATGACATGTCACACATGTCATGTGTCCTGAAGGGCTTATGGTTGCTCATTCTCTGCCAGTTCATTTGTATTTGGCTCCCGTTCTGCCATGTGTTAACCTAGGTTAATTGACTCTCTACTAGGTTTGTTTGAATTTGGCAACTGGGAATACAGTAGTGTTGCAAGCCCCCTAGTGGCATTCTCATTATAAAAAAATAAAAACAAAAACAGACAAACAGAAAAAGCCCCATGGTTTATTACATGATTTTATCAAGTATATACTCATGTTGTATAATTCAAAATTATAAATGTACATTCAGCTATGTATATATATATATATTGTAGCTGTATTAGTATCCAGTGATGTAGATGTAAAAAACAGATAAAATTTGTATCTTGTAATACCTTTTTTATTGGACTAACAGAATTTTTCAATGACAAGCTTTCGGGAGAACCTCCTTTTCTCAAGTCTTGCATACTAAGTTATGCCGGCAACCGCTGGTCCGGCTTGCCTTTCAACCATGGAGCTGGGTCATTTAGCTTATTCTTTTATAATTTGTTTATTTCGTTTTTCTTATATAAACGTACAAGACATTATCATCAACATGATAATAAAAAACATCAAAAATGTTGCCATCTACCACCAATTAGATAGAACTTGTGAAATTGCATGTATACTCAGTAAATATTACACATTACCCTTTAAGATATTAGTGCTTGTTCCCCTTTTCTTTATTCAACTATATTGTTTTCTAGAGCTAATCCAAATACCATATTAAAAAAAAAAAAATCAGTCTACATAACTAAATTTTTTATCCAACATTCCCTCTAAAATTAGAGTGCGTTTTATCTACCATATAAGTCATCTTAGTTCACTATTTATTATTACTTAGATTAGATAGATGGCATTCCAAACTTCATTAGTGTGATATACATAACAAAACATACAAAAACAAACAATTTTTTATGCATTGCACCTCTTCTTGGGGTATATCAGTGGCACCTCTATTTCACTACCTTAGGATAATAAGCAGGTAAAGATGTGGAAAGAAAAAAAAAAGAAAAAAAAAAACTGTTCTATTTATTTTATTTTGTCCAGAATTTTATCTGACCATACTCTCCACTTTTTCTTTCCAGAAATTCCTAACATCTCTAATTTTTATTGACTGATGTCCCAAGGCCTCCATATTTAATTGATATTGAACTTGTGAATATAATTGGGTTTGTGTAAAATTTGCACTACTCTTCCAGTTCCTTGCAATTATTATTTTTGTTGCTGCTACAAAATGGACATATATAAATGTATCCTTAAAAAGGAGTGATTGCAAATTTAAGTGGAATAAACCATTATGATGACCTCTAGGGATTTTTATTTCTGTAATGTACTCCAATGATTCAAAAGCCATATACCACAGAATTTTCACCTTACTACAATCCCACCATATATGTCCAAAAGTCCCCTCTTTTTCATTACATCTCCAACACATTGAAGAATTAGAAGTATACATTTTAGATAGTCTGGTAGGGACTAAATACCAGCGATTCATTCATTTGAATAATACCTCAAGAAGGTTCAAACAATGGATTATCTTACTTGTTTGGTATAATACTTGATCCCATTCAGACTTAAGAATCTGTACATTTAGCTCTTTACTCCATTTTTGGATATTTACATTTAGATTTGGAGCTTCAATTTGAAGGAGAGCAGTCCTTGCCTTTGAGACTATTTGCGGTACATTTTCATTTTTTAATAAAACTATCAAATTTTCTATATCCACTGTAGGTCGGTATAGCAAAAATTGTTTAATAAAACTTCCAATTCTTAGATAATTATACCACTCCTTCCTAGGTAATGAAAATTCTTGTATCAAATTTTCAAATGATTTAATTTTATCACCCGTTATTATTTGGTTTATAGAATCAATACCTTTCCTTGTCCATTCCCTTAAATTTAGATCCTTCATCCTTAGTTGGATAATACTAAGATTAAAATTTCCCAATATTTTATTACATATTCCGCTATTGATCCTCAACTTTTCCCACTCCATTAGAATAGATTTCAGACATTTATTGGAGGAACAGGCCTTTTTGATTCTTTCATCTTGTTTAGTTAACCAAATCAATTGATGTAAATTTTCCATTTCTACCATCTCCATTTCTAATTGGTACCAACCAGCTTCCTCTGAACTTAATAATTG